CTATCAATCAATAATTATTAATAATCTTCCTAATGATATATTATATAGTGAAATTATATTATAATGAAATATATTAAACAATAAAAATAAATTTGTATCAACATTCGATCAGCATTTCTTAAATATTTTGCAATGAAATAAAACGTGTCAAGGATTATTGAATAAAATTTGATTAAATTGGTTCATTAATTGTATCTAGATTAATATTCGTAGAAATTCTGTGAAATAATTCCATGAGAAATTCAGATTCAGTAAATTCGCAGCTACAGATCTTGAACTAATCACAGTTATCACGGTTAAAAGTACAAACGGAAAAAAGCGGACATGCCGCACTTTCACCTGGCGCATATAACAAGCACTCAGCTCTCGCAACTGAACGCGGCAAGCACCACCGATCCGTGCCCGTTTTTTTATTTCGCGATGATTACCAATCCGTTTCCATCTCGATTCGAATATCAGATATAGTCACGCCGCGCCGGGCGCACGCGGGTGGCGTGCTTCCTTGCGTGCATCGCGCGAATTCGCAGAATAATTCTTTATCAGGACACGGAATACCCAAACGTAATACATATCGTCGTATTACCATCGAGCAGTTTTTTTATCGATACATACATCGTGATACGATGTAGGTTAATGGTCATGCGTGCAGCGGCCATGGAGACGATCGATTTCCTTCTTTCTCCTGTGTTTTTCTTTCTTTTTTTTTTGTTACTGTTGTCGCACACCACACTCTTGATATATACATAAATCGCGACGGCGCGACGTTGGTGTATCGGCTTTTCTTCCGGGCATCGGCGTTCTTTGTGCCGCCGCGACGACAACCCGTGCCCGTATATGCACCATGGTCATGTAAATGCGCATGCAATTATGCATGTAACCCTAGATAGAGGCAGGTAAAGGTACTACTTTTGCAACGCGGTCATGTATAATCGAAGGACCTGGGAATTATAATATTGCCTACGCCATTAATTCTTTTAACAACAGTTATTCAGAAAATTGTCAAATTTGGATGCCCCGAATTTCATACGTGCGTGCACCTCGAATTCCATACGTGTATGTTTGCAGAAAAAAAAATATTGCTCTCTTCATAAAAAAAAACCAATAAATGTAGGTTCAAACGTAACAACTCAAAAACAAAACGCGTAATGCGGAATGATTGACACACTCTTGACTAACTTGTATAACAAAATATATTTTCAATAAAAATAATATCAAAATAAAATCAATAATAATGAAAAACGAGACGAAACAAAAGGCTCAGAGAGATAAAAATTGAATTAATAAATCAAGAGCCTAACTAGATGTTTATTGCTAAATTTTAAACAAAGTACAGTTTGAACAACAGACAACCTTCTAACTTTTAACCAGGTTATCGATGTTTTAAACTCTAAAGTCTAAGAATATGGTATATAATTTAAACTAATTGTAAATGGTCCGGCAGTATAAAACTTATCTATATCTAAATTCTAACAGCAATTATAATGAACGTAAAATATAAGATATGCAATAGTACATTATTTTAAGCGATTCGAATTAAATCAAATAAATATCTTATAGAGAAGTTCTCAAACTTGACTAACTTCGTGCATTTTTTGATAAAAATATGTAGATAATAATTACGTTATATAAAATTATTACGAAAAGCCATTAAGAAATAATACTTGTTAATTTGAACGCTCGAAAGTTATTACATTGTCGCATTTATCCGATATCAATGTACAATATAATAACGAAAGAGAGATAGAAGATTTTTTATAAAAACGAATAAACATTGCAATATTATCTACTTGGTTATTATAAATCAAATTTACTCTGAGCTCTGAAAGTAATCAGCTATATTTTAAAACTAAAGATTTTCTCTGAGTTAATCAATAGCAGCGAGGTTTTTATTGGGAAACCAATTTTTATTATCATACGATCGATTTAATCTTACTAAACTGAAATCAAATCGAGTTTAATTTGCGAAAAAAACCGAAAAATCTGCAATCTCAATTGGATCAAGAGAAGATAAATTCTCGCGCTTGTAGGAGATTTCCAACGGCAACTCCAAGACGGAGATAAATCATCATCACCGAAGCTACAAAGGAGCTTTGTACAAACTCCGCAATGGCACATCGCACTAGATAACAGAAGAATGCAAGACAACAAAAGCTTCTAACAACATTTGAAAATCTTTTCAGGGCGTCGCCATTTTTGAGAAACTGCTCTTCGGCTGCTGCTTTTCGTTCCCGGCGCAACGATGACCGAAGGAAACAAATGGTAGAAAGGTTGGTCCGACCCGCTATCGATTCGCACAGTCGTACCCAACCGTGCCAGTGGCCAAGGAGGTTTAAGCACCGTTCACACGGAAACCGTGCCTCTCCGGCTGTGCCTCTCTCGTCTGTTTTATTCGCATTCTGCCCATATTATATCCAATTACATCACCACGGCCATTACGAGCCGCCGCTTGCGTTCCGCGCTGGTTACAACGAGGTCAAGCTGCATACAGGAACAAAAACATGTTATTAACTTTATTCCACGTGGTGTATTTGCGGATTAACTCGATAATCGATATCGAATCTAGGTGGAATTTAAAAAAATAAACAAAAAATTCGTTATTTTGACATTTGGCAAATAATACAAAGCTCGAAATTTATCACATTCAATAAACTGACATGAGGTTTTGATATTTAGAGATTTCCATAAATTTAAGGATTCACATCTACACACATTGTGTTAAAGGTCAGATTTGATGTGGTCAAAAATTCACACAGCAGGGAATTGATTGATATATCCCAGAATATACAAAAGCGGGAAGTGAGGTATATTCAAAAACTCATATAAAATCAAATTGATAGATTTCCATAGATAAATGCGAAGTTTTGTACCAATATATAAACTGTAATTTCTCGAAGATTGATGGCCTCAAAAATCTTACAGCTCGGAAAATTCGGAACTAAAAGATTTAAAATTTATTATATCTTGCAATCAACAAATTTTAAGCTATGAATTTATGACTAAGCTGTGAATCTAAATTAATTTTTGACTCTTCGTCGCACCTCAAAGTTTCCATAATTTTCATTATTTATAACTACAAAGAATAACAGATCGGAAATCAAAGATTTACTATTCTCAGATTCATCGAAATATTTTAAACTTCCGTAACTCGACGTTCTTCGAATAAAATGAGATTCTTTAGTAATCAATACAACCGTCGTAGTTTTATTTTAGAAAGTCGTAATATATCTATCACATGCGAGATACAGGTAAAGTCTGGTAAAGGATACAGAATTAAAAAGTAAATACTAAAATAAAAAAATGTTAAAATGCTTTATGGATTAAGGACTTTACAGCGTCAGTATGCTCTCGCGTGTGCTGTTCCACCGTCGCCGCATAAATTAATGTTATCTCGGGGGATTATACTGGGTTGAGTAGTGCGCGCGATGGCATTGCCGCATGATGAAATTTGATGTATTTCTCTCTGTCGGCTGATTAGATATTTTTAAGGCTTCGTGACTCACGTAATCAACGAGTACGCTTTGAATAAATAAAAAAAGCTTTTAGCATAAACAACTACCATTTTTAATTTTTCATTAAAAAATGTAGTTTTAATCCTCACGAGTTCGAAAATTATATAATATATGAAGTAATAAGACATCAAAATACTTTTTATTTTTGTATATATAAAATGAAAATTATTTATTTCTACAATATTCTGCGAGTTGTTATTTTGAGAAAGAGATTTAAAATGCAAAAATTATGTTTTTTATAACTTATAGAACGAAGTTATTTTACTTATGAAAATCTTATGTAAATATATAATAAATGATGATGTATTATAAAATCCTGTAAATAAAAATAGATCGATAAAGAATTGACAAGAATGTATAACAGAGAATGCACGAAATCACGCAACTCCCCTGTGGTCCAAAAATTCGATCGAAACTCGTAGTTTGGCTGACAAACTTTTTCCATTCGTTTTTTCTCTTGAGAATTGTCATGCGAGAGAGAGAGAGAGAGAGAGAGAGAGAGAGAGAGAGAGAGAGGGGAAGAGAAAAAAAGAATTTGCACTATTTTCACTACCCCGTGTAATTGATTCGGAGTTTTCTTGAAATGTACGTTTTCTAGAAATGTGCTTGAGAAAAGCCGAGATCCAATTTTATCTTTTCATCTTCTCAAGTGCATAAAGAAACGACGTATATCGACAGTATCGAGCTACCTCGCGAATCTAGGGCAAATGTATGAAATATTAAAAGCTCAATAACGCTTTTTCGGTATGAATGTTAAAAAACATTATGTTGAAAACGTAACATCGGCTAATCATATTGTCAATTAAGCGATGGCAACTTACCGACGCTGTTTTCCCATTTTTACTCGTGACTTTTAACAGCGACCCTTCGTACCCCTGGAACAGGAATAAAATATTACGTCATTAAAACTTCATATCATATCAAAATACTTTGCAACCGATATGATTAAACAAAAAATTGACTAACTTTATATGAATTTAATATCAGTTATATGTTTTATTTTTGCTTAAAAATAAAACAAAGATCTCTATATTATTTTATGATAACTTAAACTTATATGAAAATGTGAAATAACCATTAGAAAATAGACACATGTAAGTCTATTTTAAATAGTATAATATAACATTAAAACAATTGTACTTTCGTGTTTCCTGGAAAATTTGGACAGTTTTTTAAAAAATCTCTTTTTTAAAGTAATTTTTGGAAATAAGAAACAAACATCACAATACTCAATTAAATATTTAAACACTAGCAATAGATTAACTAATACTTGCAAATAACTAATATATACGATATAAAAATACGATTTCTAGTCTAAGAAATTATTTTAAAAATATAATACACATACAATATATACGGTTCTGTGATTTATTGTTAAATGCGCTCAGCACGGTTCTTTTTGCAACAGAATTTACTAAATTCTGAAACTATTCAGAATAGCAAATAGTACTGAATGAAAAATAAAGCAAGACATTCACATATTTTATTAAATATTTAACACAAATGATATCTGTGAATTTCTTAACGGCTATCACTTGAATTATCTATCGTTAACGTGCTCTATTCCATTTCCTGATACGAGAAAAGCCGTGTAACAGACTTTTTAATTTCCTACGATCTTAATGCGTAACACTTCGTTATTGCGCTATCGAGAATCTTGTTTCACGCTGCCGCTAAAGATAAAGGAATCCTTGCAGTAAGGTAACGTTTCCGTAATTTTTATAATAGAGCCTCAAGTAGAACGCGCGAGATGAGCACTCGGTTACATGCGAACGCTGTAAGTAGTATTCATTACCAGACTACCAAACTGTTAATAATTGCACGATCGCGATGGAAGTGCTAATTAACGAAGTCGCAATTAGAGAGCACGGTAAGTCTCGAAACGTTTATCCGACGTGCTACGTTTTTCGAGTTTGAACATTTCATGCATACGCGAGCAATAGCAAAAATGCTCCACACCATTTTCCAAAGATTTCCAAGTATTGATCATCAATTAATTGTAGCTGCAATTATAATTATCCAAAAATTATATATATTTAATAAAACTAAAAATAGAATTAAATATCTATTGCCAAGATAATTTATAATTTTGTAACAATACGTGAAAATATGTATTGTTGAAAACTTTAAATAATTGATTCCATTAATTGTGCTTTATTACAATTTTTTATTAAAAATTTACGACTAATAAACATAGACACATATGTTATTATTTAAATAAGTTAGAAAGTTTAATGATAAATTTGAATTTCACCTAAATGTCTCACTTTAGACGCATAGATCGATGTGCGAAATTTCCCAAGTATCTGTTACAACATTCTTGGCACTCGCGAGGTTCTTAATCTTGCATCATTAATCAGCTTGTCCTATCCATGAAATATTACTGCTTAATTTTTATAGCAAATAAAATAAAGATTCTTAAGTTTAAATTTAAAATTAAGTTTAAATTTAATTTCGTACTATAATAACTATAGGAATTAATAATTCCTAATAAATATTTAACTCAAATTATCAGATTGGTTAATCAATTTCCTGCTATTTCTCGCGTTAAGAATATATTAATGTACACGATATTATAAATTTCAATATTAAATTTTCATTGTCTGTTCATTAAAAAAACATATGTCTTAAATTATCTTAGATATATCGGTACACTACGTTATATTTCTAAAGTATCCATTTCAACATTCTTGGCGCTGAGTTCAGTGTCTCGCACATAATTAATTAACTTCCCTTAACTATGAAATATCGCAGTCATTAAAAGACTGGTCTCGCGGGGAAGCATAATCGAGTTTTCGACGTCACTCGCATATGTTGTGCTCACACGATACATACAATGCGCAAATAGTTCCTGCACTTCTCCGAAAGTTTCGCGGTAGTACGAAACGTTGGCGAATTGATCCGCCTGGCTCTCCTTCCGGCGGGCTGAAAACTCGTCGTAAATCCATGGAAAACGGGTCGCACAGATTATGCGTATAACGTTACGATATCTCAAAAACGATTAATAACTGAATTCGCTCGACGTATTCTTCGTGTGTGCACCAAGAGATTTGCAAGCGAAAATAACGTGTGTGGTGATGCTACTCAAGGTTTATTGTTCACGGTATGTCGCCAGTTATGTGTCATATCGATGCCAAGAAATCGCGTTCTCTCTTGATACGAGGAGCCGCAGTGATTCGCGTGCAGAAGACGGTCGCTGTCAATATACATCACTCCCACACCGCAGTCGGTGCATACTGTATACGAGACAACGCGCATGTTTCTGCGTTCAAGATATGTTTGCAGTTTTTCTCATAACAAATTTTCAGAATTCCTGCAACTCTTGTCGTTTCAATAGAGGCGATTCTAATAATTTCTATTTTTTTTTATTCGACAGTGTCAAGCGATAATTTAGTGTTTGTTCGCGAAATAAAAAATTTAATTCGTATTATATGAAAGATACAAATGCATGAAAAGACCGCAAGCATATTTATGCACATGCAAGTTATTATTTCTGGTTATATCATATATAGAGCGCATCAGATATCGTATTCAAAATTTAATCTGAGTCATAATAGAAGGCGAATAGTGTATATCAATTATAAATAATTGAGTGAAAGCAATATATTGCATCGATCAATTTCTGGAATACGCGTAGGTAACAATATTTTATCTTCTCGTTTCAATTTTAAACAAAGTTTACTTTAATAGGGTAGAAATAAA